CTAGAGGGGTTCAGCACTTGCCCAGGGACTGAGCACAGAGCTGAGTACCAGACCTGCTGTGGAGACCGAGGTCTGGTGATCCACCAGCCCTCGAGCTTGCTTTCTCACCACTGTCTTCTCCCAATTGCAGTCACCTGTTCAGTGCCCAGGGACTGATCGATCACTCCAAGCAAGGTATTGAGCCATAAGATGATGATTGATCTTGTGACCTTCCTACTCTGTCTAGTGGAGGTATTAAAAACCTCAAAGCCTCTCTAATGTAATAATTGGTTTTATTTAAACTTCTATGTGTAGAATTTATTTAGAACGGATTATCTATAAGAGTAGTTTTCTAAGTGTTAAAATACTTGTTTGAGAACTGTTGTTATAAATAAAACTTAGCTCTTTAACAACTTCATTCAATAGGTAGGTCTTTCTGTTGAAAAATGTGGATGTCCTCCATAAACCATAATTGCATATATGTAGCATAAATATTGTTTCTTTATTGGATTTGTTGCAGAAATAAAACCTCTTTGTGTATAAATGGACTTGGTTTTGAACTGTGAAAATTTAATCGTGATAGTTTATTGGTTCAGCTCTGGAGAAGCTGAGGCAAAGCTATTTTGCTCCAGCCAGAGCTATTTATATACCATCACTGTGAGCTCCTTTTTATATTATTGGTGTTATGCCTACTAAAAAAAGGAGTGTTAAAGGAAAACTTCGCATTTCTTTTTATTCTGTGCCCTTATTCACCACAATGATATTTTTAGAGGTTATTTCATCTAGCTATCTCTCTTCAGGAAAGGCTTTATCTTTTTCACAGTAGAGACAGACAAGAACTCAGCTTGAAGCCATTTCTTCTCAAGCTTTCCTTTTTGAAGGGTGAAAGGATCAGAGAAAGTGGGACTTTGTGTACGAATTGAGCCTCTTTGCCCTTAGGCCCTTCCTGAGCAGCACATCTGTTTCATTGAGGGGAGAGATGACCAGGAGTTTTAATGGAAAAGACAACTTTAAGGAAAGAGGTTAAAATTTAAGAGACTGTTTCTTTTGAGTTTTTCTATGCAAAAAGAAAGATCTGGCTTAGAAGTTTATCCTCACTTTGTTTTGCTTCCAGAGAAAACCATTATTCTGCTTAGCTTTCCTTTTATAAAAGTGCTTTGCTGAACAGGGCAGGCAGGTAATCATTTATTGTTGCAAACATCTGCTGAATTGGCCAAGTACAGAAGAAGAATGACAGCCGAATGGCTGCTTCAGAGGCTAGAATTTGTGAGCTGAAGCTTGGAGGACAAACTAAGTTCTAAGGGAGCACCAGATACAACCTCAGTGTCCTGTAACAGAGCAAAATTTGGAAACATGAGTAAATTTGAAGCTCTAAAAGTTGTACAGTTAAATATCCAAAAGTGTCAGATTTCAGGCCTGGATATGAAGCCTCAACCATTTGAGCAGTGTTTTTGCCTCAGAGGCAAGCCCTTGCAGATTCTTGGCACTGGCCAGCCATGGACAACAGTACATCACATTTAGTACTGTTTGCCTCAAATATGGACATCAGTGTGTGTGAAAATGTACCTGCAGTGTCTTCCATCCATGTGTTCAGGTCATCGATGAGATGTTATACTACATGTCAAGTTTCTGTTTTGATTTATTATCCGTTCTAGGAGATAATGAAATATCTGAAGTACAATTTTTATTTTATCCTAGAACATGAAACAGTATGTTTCAAAAGACATCATCACTTGAGACCCTTTCCTTTAATATTTAGCTGTTATGCACATCTTTGGATTATGGGGAGGGACAGTCTGGATGTCCGGTTTCATGACTGTAAATCAGCTTGCAAAAGGCCATATGAAAGATAATGCTTAATATAATTCAACTTATTTTCCATTAACATCTTGAACTATGGTTTAAGTTTTGTATTTTTATTCTAGAAATATAGCTGACATTAGCATTTAGGCATACAGTTCAGTTTATCTCTAGTGAAAGTCTTTTAAAATTGTTATATACAGCACAAAGGACATAGAAAATCAATAATATTTCATTTCTTTTAAGTAAGATCCTTCTATATACATTTGCTTGGGTTGCTTATAAATTTCTTCCTTTACAGAAGTATTTTGTAATAAATGTCAGTTATGGATTTAATCGTAGCAAAAAATAGTGCAGGTTCTGTAGTACCTTTAATATATCAGGTAAAAAATTGCTTAGCTAAGTATTAGTATAGTAGAATAGTACAATTTCCTAAAAGATATTTTTTAAATGTAGTGATATTAATAGGAGAGCATTTAGGACCTTAGTACATGGAATATTGTAGAATTCAATGCATTGTACCTTTAAAATATTTAAAGCTTCTTTGTTTATTGGTTTGCCAATCATAACCCTTTACACAGTGTAGAGATACTATAAATATTTTCTGTTGAATGTAAACTTGATTTGAAAATACTCTTCTTTTTTAATCTAATTACTCTCATACTAGTATGATTTGGTTACCTCAATGTTATCTTTGTAGTCTGAAGAATTGTAATATTAGTTATAGTTAAAATTGAATTTTGGCAGTATTATCAATTGATGGAACTGGCTAAAATTAATTTATTAGAGTATTAGAAATTGAACATTGGACAAATTCAGTTTTTTAATAGTCATGTATGCATCAGTAAGTTTAAAAGCACACTCTAGGGGGTTACTAAGGAAACAGTTTCTATTTTTTTCAGAAATAGCTAATTCAATACAAACTAAGTACTCATTAACTTCCTCTTAATCTACAAATGTGACCACATTGGTGTTTAATGTGGTAACCTAGCCAGATAGAATGATATTTTAAATTGGTCTTTACCACTAAAATATATAAACTGGAGAAAACTTTGCTTCATTAATAAATGCTTAAGGATAAATGAAAGGCGGAGGTGGTTTTGGTGTTGGAAGGGACATACACAGTGGGTATTTCCCAGCTGTCAGATTTGTTTGAATATAATAGATGAATAAGATCAGCATTTAATAGCAAAATGAAAACATATGACTGTTAATAAAAAATATACAGAGCACTTAAATTAGTGACCTAGGTACTTTATAGTAGTTGAAAATATATAAGTGAAACCCAGGAATTCTACCTTTTGTTAAGACTCACATGGTACTGAAAAATTATGCATTGTTCCAATTGCTTTAAAAACTGTTGACATATTGTTTCAATTTAAATATTTTATATTTCACCTTCTGATGGAGTTTGGAATATTGGTGTAAGGAGGAACCAAGAAATCTTTATCTAAGAAAAGATGCCTATAACATTTTTTTCCCATTTCTGAAAATAATATTTGCCTCCTTAAATATTTCTCTATACTTAATGGCAAAAGAGAAAGTCTTATCACATGTAATAGTAATAATTACTGATAGCTTCATTAAGTGTGGCAGTTGTAGATGTTAACCTGTTTTAGAATTAATCTTTATAAAGTATCCTAAAATTTAAGAATGATTTTTGTCTTATATATTTTAGGTGAGAATATAAAATGCACACTCTTGACAAGGGTAAAATGTTTGTGGTCATAAATAGACTTACTAATAATTGAAAGGAATTTTCCTATTCTTTTAATTTTTACCTAATAAAAGATGGAGTTAGTCATCCAGGTGCTTTAGACATGAAAAAGACCTTTTGGGGCCCAGCCAGAGTATCTAACTCTTAGATACGAGTTCAGACAGAAGAAGTTCTATGGCCTTTGAGGTTGCAGAGGTGTGATTTCCTGCTGTCTCCACTTGGGTACTCTGTTGGCTTTGGCTGTTTGGTATATCTTTCAAGTTTATATTTAACTGTGGATGTAGGACCAGTGCAAATAGGTTGATTCACCTGCAGATGTACTTGGGCAGGTTTTCATTTGAACACCCGTCCCAAGGCCATATGAAGAAAGCAGAGTAAAATTTTGGTTCAAATAATTGCCAACTTAAAATTTATTTTTAAGTATTTGTTTGTCCCACTTTATTTGGGACATTTTACACTAACAAGACAAACATTTTTATTATATTTTCAGCTATAGGATATCAGTTTACTTTGGAGTAGGACAATTTTTAACTTTATGTGATTTAAAGGAAATACTTTTAAGGCTGGGGATATAGTTCAGTGCTAGAACACTTGCCTAGTGTATCTGAGGCCTTGGGTTCAATCCCTAGCACCACAAAAACAACAAACAAAAAAACAACCCACCACCAACACCACCATGGTAACCTCACTTCACTTACCTCTTAACTTGCATACTACAGCCTGGCATATTTCTCTTGGTATTGGGGAAATAGTGGAAAAAGCTCTAGTATTAGAGAGAGATTGGGAATTGAGGGTGGGGAAAGTCGAGCTATTTTAATAAAGAAGTGACAAAGGAAGGTCTCCTTAGGATGTGACAAAAGGTTTTGGGCCACTTAAGGAGTTATCTGGGAAATGTGGGGAGAGCAAATAATAAAGGTCAGACAGGAAAGGGTTGCAAAGGAGGATGGTGGACAGTGGAGTGGGGGATGACAGTCACTAGGTTGGGTATGTTGCTGGGTTACATCATGTGGGGCCTTGGAGTTGAGAGTGGTGTTTTTATGATTACAGGAGAAAGTCATGAGAGGAGTGGTGGGAACTAGTTTATGCATTTGAAAGCCACTCTGGCTGTGTATAGAGAAGATTGTGGGAGGTGGGGGGCAGAGGAGTAAGCAGAGAAACCACATGGACTCTTCTGCCATGTCAAGGGGTGGAATTGATTGGGTGCTAGACTAGAGTGGGTACCTCTGGAGGTTCTGAAGAGATGGATTTGGTATGGGCAGGTCATAGCCCCAGGACAGGAAGGGGGCTGGGATTTTTTGTTTTGTTTTGTTTGTTTTTGCCTTTACCTAAATCCTATGGTTTCTGATGGTTATGGCAGCTTTGAATCTCATTATATGTGACAAAGGAGGGCACATAATGAAGTAATTTATAGCACACACTTCATACACTCAGATTTCGTATTAATACAACTAATGAGTTGCAATATTTATTCGATTTGTTTTAAATGTGACTTTTTTTATTGCAGGAAATGTTTTCATATTTGTCCAGTCAACTAAAGAAGTTGTCAGAAGCCTACAGTGAAAGATTATTGCAGACACCTCACAATCCCATTTCATTAGGTAATTTTTTCCTTAAAAAAAGAAAATATCTACTTCTTATCCTTTCTTAGGAAGAAATCGGTCTTTACAGCAAAAGAACTCTTTTTGTCTATATGCTATTTTGAATTTATTGCAGTATTAATTCGTAAATTTAAAAAATTTAACCTTTAGAAATGCTTTAATTATTTCAAAAATAAAATTTAACCACTGAATCAGGATCAGTGAATCCTTTTTATCACTATGATACTTATAGTGAATATACATAAAGTAATAATTTAAGTCTTGCTTCTAACCAAAATACCTTGGTTACTAGTGATATTATTTACAACTAGTTAATTATTTACAACTCTAAATAATTAACACTTTCTCCAGGATTGGGGGTGAAGCTCAGTGGTGAAGCACTTGTCTAGTATAACAGAATCCTTGAGTTTGATCCCCAGTACTACAGACTTAAATAAATAAGTAAAACTCTCTCCACTTAGCAATATCAACATATCAGAAATTAAATTTTTTCTTATTATTTTTAAAATGTTATTACTTAAGAGAAATCTGTATTTAGCGTACGTAGCGCGTGTGTGTGTGTGTGTTTGTATCTATCTATCCATCTATCTATTTTTGGTACCACAGATTGAACCCAGAGGCACTTTACCACTAAGTCACATCCCTAGATCTTCTTTATTTAGAGACAGGGTCTCACTGAGTTGCTTGGGGTCTTGCTAAGTTGCTGAGGCTGACTTTAAACTCGCAATCCTCCTCAGGCCTCAGCCCCCCGAGCTGCTAGGATTACAGGCTGTGTCGCCATGCCCAGCTTAATCGCCATGCCCAGCTTAATCTGTATAAAGAAAAAATGGTAATATAGAATTATGCATTTAACTAACTTCATAATTACCCCTTTAATTGGTGAATATATATGTATATTTATATAGCATAGTAGTATGGAAAGTGAATCATTTGCAACTGCAGCCTTTTTAAGAATAGGCTTCTGTGGAAAACCTTTGTGGGCACCAACGTAATATTATCCCAATCTCTTGCTGGTAGGCAGAGAAGCTGGTTTGGGATATCAGAATATCAATTCTGCTGTGTACTAGCCTCTCATCAGTTTTTCCCCCTATCTCTAAAATAGAGTTAATTATCCCTCACATGAAAAATTGTTAAAATTGGCCGAGGTTATGTTTGTAAAGTATCTAGTAAGTCAGCCTTCAGGCATGTCCACAGTTTCCCCCCATACTATCAGAAGGATCATTTCCATAAGAAGTTGATCTTACAGTCTTAAATATGTACTAAATAATCTCCCATATTCTCATTTTATAAGTTATTAAAACTTGGATGAGTTTGAATAAACAACCATTACTAATCTTGTCATTGCATCATCTATTGAGTTGGAAAAACTCACTTTTGGGGAAGGCAATGTGGAAATTCTGTTCCTGGTTTGTGACCATATTAATTCACATAAAACCATGTTTGTCTGATATTAAAACAAATCCCTTATTAAGTGCATTTTAAAGTGATGTGCCACTTGACAGACACTGAATAAGAAGTAATTTGTTTTTTTGTTTTTTGGGTTTTTTTTGGGTGCTAGTAAACCAGAGCTTACAGGGATATTTTTTTTCTTTTTCAGCTGTGACACTTAAGACACTAGATGAACACCAGGATAGAGCTGTCACTCAGCTTGGCTCAATGCTTTTTACCAGACAGGTTTCTGGAGCCAGGTAAGAGGAATTTTTAAAAAGATATTTAGGATATTTAATAGCTTTTCCAAGTTAAGTCTAATAAAATACTTTTCTTACAGTAGCCCCCCCCCCCCCCGCCGCCCCCGGCCAAATATATGCTAAACTATGCCTGAGAATTCATTGTGTACTCAAAGCATGATGAGATAGAGAATCTGTAAGAATAGTAGTTGCACCTGAAGACTTTCTAGGCTTGAAATAGTCCCAGAAAGATATGAATCTTGTTTAATAGTGTATAGAAACAGTTTCATTCTTCTCTCTGCAGTTTTTTGCCTATTTTCTTTGTTAGATGATTTTTCATTGATATCACATATGATATTAGAAATAAGTCATTACTAAGTTCAAGTGAAATTTTGCTAAAGAAATGGCTATTTCCTAAACTAAAAGGGTTATGGAATTCTTGCCTAAGTACTGCCTTGGAAACATGTACTTTTTTCTCTAATATATACTTAGCATGAAAATGAATCTCATTTAGCATGATAAATTTGTTAAAGTCAGAGAAAAATGTCTTGAAAATAAGTATCTTGCTCTAAATGCTTTTCTTCACATATTTCTGTTAAAGAATTTCACTCTGACTACCAGAGGGTAGAAATTTCACATCAAAGGACAGCTTTTTTGAAAGAAGAAAATCTTAGATTAATTTAGCTTATACTTTGATAAACTCTTATCTGTATGCAATACAGTTTTGACAAATGCTTTTTCCAAAATGTGTTTTTTTGACCTGACTTTCAGTATTGCTGGTATTTGTCTTTATATTTAGGTTGATCTTAATTAATTGACTTCTTAAAAAAAAAAAAAGTAAAAGATTAGAAATCTGCTTTTATCTTCGTATGCCTGTGATGTCAAGCTTAGCAAATGCATGGGCCAGAGCTCAGTATTGCAGTTTGCTGATCTGCACCCCATTGTAAGTGATTACATCATTTCTTCTGGCTCCTTGCTGCAAAGCTCTGTATTGCATAGCACTGATCAGATAGTTGGAATTTTAGTTTGTTGATTTTTTTGAGGGGACACACTACAGTTAAAGTGGTTGGTCTTAAAGTATCTATGTATGAATTCAGATTCCAGATTTGGCACAAAAACAATTTGCTTTCTTTTTCTACTTTGAAGATGTAAAAATGTTTGAGATTCCTAGAGTTTTTTGTTCTTTTATAGATTATAA